AGGGTGGGTGGGCGGGTGGCGTTGGGGCAGAAGGAAGGAGAGAAAATTGGAGGGTTGGAGTGGAGGAAAGAATAAAGAAAAAAAAAAACCTGGGCATCTGGAATGGGCCCGTGTTCTTCTCATCGGAGTACTGGATCTGTGCATACGTTGTAGTTGAAAGCATGTGCAATCCGTGTAAACACGTGATTTTTCTTTCTATGCGTGTTGAGTCATTCTTATGTTACGGCCAGTGGGTGTGCAGCTGAATCGATGCTTTGGACACTCCCCCAGCCCATTCATTTTTCCTGTAGGCCCATCTGATTACATGCTTTTGCGCCCACATTTGTCCACAGTAAATAAAACAGAAGTCAAGTAGTGTCTTTTAAAGGAATAAGGTTTATTCCAATATAAGCTTTTGCAGGTCGTAGAAGTTTATGAACTTAATTGAGTTTTCCTGGTGCTGCTAGACTCCTATTTTTCTTTGCTGTGTAAATTTACATTTAGGCAGTGGATACAGGTGACTGAAGGGAGCCTCCATAAACAGAGGCTTCAAAGTTTTGAATACCAGAGCTGGAAGGCAGCAGCAGGGGAAGGACTCAGCCTCTATATCCAGATTACTTGTTCCTCCAGGGCAATTGGTTTGCTACTTTGTGGAAAAGGAGGCTGGTCTAAATGGGCCCTGGCTTGATCAGCAGATTTCTCTTAGGTTCTTATGACTGTATGCTTTAAACCACTCATCCCTGTTTATCCAATTGCTGGATGCAAGTTAACGCAATTTGGTTTTTCTTATGTAGCTCTTTCTATGAGAAGTGTGTGTGTACATGCAGTGGGTTCACTGTAATGGCTGTAAAGGGCTGGTGAGAGAGGACCTTGAACTGTGGGTGCCTCTTTTGTTCTTTTTAAGGCATCTGAATCTTGGTGTTCACTGCTAGATCCGTCTCTTTTCTGACTACCTGTAGTGTTTTCTTGCTCCCCACATGTGGCACAGTCTCCTTTAAAATAAAACATGTCGGAGGAAGAGGAGAAGGAAAATGAGTGTGCTTCCTGTAATCAATCTGTATGCTCTCTAAATAGCTTACACATAATATTTTAAAGTCATGCTGGGGAAATAATGGTTTTTGTTTGGGTATGTGATGGTAAACCCTAATCTGCTGAATTAGTTGATGGAATGAGAATGGTTAAACTATCTTCCTGGATGAAGAGTTTTGATGTGCTAATGGGGCCCTTTGATCTGACAGGTGCCTGAGTATTAACACGGGACTAATAGCAGGAGGTGGATCAGGATTGAAACAGTATGAACTATGTACAGTAGCTGAAAATCAGAATGGGCTGAGAGTATTGCCCAGTCTCTTCCCCCTTGATTTTTAGTCGAGGGGCTGCAGAGTATGAGTATGCAGGGAGTTCTGCACTATTTGAGTTTAAATCCCAAATGTAGTAAAATAATTGGAGGTGTGTTTTGTTATGTATTTGATCTATGGTGATCAAGCCAGAGGATAGGAAATGAGGTTTATCAACTTGTAGGTGGTGGTAGAGATGACTGTTTAAAGTGGGAGGAAGATTCAAAGCTATATATAAAGCATTCCAGGAAAGTTGTTTTTTTTAGGCATGAGAAAAGTTGAAGGGGTGGGGTCAGTGTGTATTCCAATAGCAGAATAAAAATCTGGTGGAAATATTTCCTGTTCAATTTGAAATTCTTGTGCAGCAGAAGTGTCAGAAGAAGAAAAATTATTGTAGGTTGTGTTGCTCATTAACAGTGCAATCCTGTACAGAGTTACTCCAGTCTAAGATGGCTGACTTCATTGGGTTTAGGCTGAGGTAACTGTTCAGGTTTGTACTGTAAAGCCTCTGTTTGCAAGCCAAAGGAATCTGCTGTGCAGGAAGCTGTTGTATGAGTGATCTGTTGTTTTCCACTTAACTTGGCTGAGGGGTTCATACAGTGCAGTGTTTGTAAAGGTTCCAGTGGCTTTTGGTGTAGACAGAATAAATATTTGCAGTCCTTAATTTAAGCCTTAGCTGCTCTCTTCCCAGCTAAGTACCAGGGCCCAGTCGTGAAACATGAACACATGTTTTAAAAAAGAAGAGTATGTGCCCAAGAACCTCTCTCTCACCACAGATGGCAAAAGCCTGCCCCACAGGTCTGGGATTGAGGGAAAAGATCAGTTGGGGAGGCAAGTTTGAGCCTGTTTGTTTCTCACTCAGAATTAAAAATTAACCATTAAGCATTTATGTTAGTATTGAGTAATCTTTGTCACGATTTTTTTTAGTGCAAAATGGATCTGTGCACCAGAAAGATGGATTAAATGATGATGATATCGAACCTTACTTGAGTCCTCAGGCTAGACCGGTGAGTGAAACAAATCGTATTTGTTTAGTGGGTGAGATGTACTATTATCAATTAGTTGCTTTTCTGCTGCTTTTCTGTTGTCTACCTTTCAGCATGTTTCTTTAGCTTGATATTTTGAGTACAGATAGCCCACTGATTACTGCTGATTCTATATCAACCTCTAGCTTGCCTGTAAGCAGAGGTCATTTCGGGGGTGAACGCAGTTCCCCCGGGTGAGGTGCAGGGGGGCGGGGCACATGATGAAGCCCCGCCCCCTGCTTCCGGCCGCCCTGCTTCCAGCCCTCATTCAGCCAGGAGGAGGCAGGAGAAGAGGGAGGGTAAGTTGCTTCCTCCCCGCCTCTCCCCACCCCTGCCTGCCTGGAGCCAGGGAGGGCCTTTGCGGGGCTTCCTCGCACTCCTGCCAGCCTTGCAGGTCCACCACCGGGCCCCTGATGTCAGGGTGTGTGGCATATGCTAATGAGTTCCCCTAGCTCTTTTTCTACGAAATGACCCCTGCCTGTAAGTATGATAGGTGCTGTGCTAGAACTAAGTATGGTGTTTTTTGAATATCATTTATTTTTGTTCTTTGTAGTCTTTTCTCACTGAGACTCAAGGTACATTAAACAGTGTAAGTCAATACAATCGACAGGATGAGACATCGAATAAGTAATATAACAGAACTAGGTTTAGGTTTACTGAAGTCTGTAAAGTGTGCACATTAGATGAGATGTTAATGCAGACAATGGTATTACATAAGTAGGAAAACAATTTAGTGAGACCAAGGCATGCATTTATTTATTTTATTCCTTTGTCTAAGCTTGTGAAATCAGGATGGACTTAACCTGGCTTCTAAATGTTAGTAATGATGGCATTAGGTGAAATTTCACTAATTTCATGCTTATAAATATGTTTGAGTGTTGATTTACTTCCTACAATCAAGTTAAAAACATCTCAACACTTAACAGTGAACCCTCATAAAAACTGAACCCCATGTAAGCTGCAGTAAACCTCTGTATCTCAGTTGTAAAGTGAAACTAGAATCCTGAGCTACAAAATAGTTTATCACAACACTTCAGTAGGCATGAGACTGCAGTTCTAAGTACTCCTGCTCCCATGTAGGTCCTATGGAACTTGCTGGGATGTATTTCTGACTAAGCGTGCTTAGAATTGTAGGTAAGCTAAGTAATCCAGTTTAAATTATTTACTCAGAAGAAATTACTGTTGCTGTGTTGTAAGACAGCTTTTTGTTATACAGCAAATATGGCTGTCTTAGTGATTTTAGAGGGGTTCACTTACCAAGTAAAGATGCACAAGATAAATCCAATAACTCTGTCCTGACCTTGGCACTTTCTAATTCTAATGAGACCTACACCATTTTAGTAGGGTCTTCTATTTCTGATCTGTCATGTAGGTGGATTACTTACATATCTAATACATTTAATAATCTAATGCTAGTAGACTGCATTTAGAACACTGGTACCTGTTCTAGCTTTTGGGGCCTTGAATTACTGATATGGTCTGTAGGGTTATTAAAACATCCCTTATTGTATCCACAGTTACCACAGTTACCTAGTTAGATGAGGCCTTCCTATTTTGGAGAAATGAAATATGAACGTCAGTTCGTTTAATGACTGAAAGATAATAACAGGTATCTTTGCCCAGTTCTGGGAAACGTTTAGGGTTCAACTCCAGCTGGTGTCTGCTGGGAGAGAATTCCATTATTGTGCACCAACATTCATGGATGCGCTGCTGCGTGCTGTTCTCACGTGGGTGCTGGTGCACTATGGCATGGTCATATGGCTGTGGTGGATAATTCTTTGAGGTAAAGGTAACAGGCTTAAGATGTTCAGCATTTCTGGGCTCCCATCAGTACCTTGAAATTGTGCCTTGAAGACTGCAAGAAGGAAGTGCAGATCCTAAAACATGCTGAAAGTCAGAAAACTTTACAACTTCTGATCAGTTGTGAAGAATAGGTAAACTGGACTGCAGTAACCAAGCTTCAGTTACAAAGATTAAATAATAGTTGGCAAAATTAAATTGGAAAGAAGTGTGGGTGGGTGCAGAAGCATTTTTAGTGAAGTGAAAAGTACCCATGCCCACCTTGAGCACTAAAGTTTCAGCTATATTAATAGTTTTAGGAACCGCCTATGCATGTGCACCAGAGAAACCTAGTGCAGACTAAACTACATACAAGCTTGATATTTCATTTTTTTTCTGCATTCAAAGGGTCATTTTATTTTGTTGGCTTTCTTGCATCCCTACATAATCCGTGTATCAAATAAAATGATTGTGGGTCCTGAATTTAGTGACAAGAGCATGCTGTTCATGCACTGCATATCATTATTTTGCTTAGGTGCCTCTGTTCCTGTACATACAGGCAGGAGTTAAGAAAGGAAAGAATCCTGTGGGGGATCCCTTTATGTAAGGACATGGGAAAACAAGTGGTGGCTCATAACTCCTCTTCAAGATATTCCCTAATGGGAATGAGTGAAACAACTTGAATGAAATAAAATGAGTCTAATGCCACCTTAAAGACTAACATTTATTCCGACATGAGCTCTTGTGAGTTACAGCTTCTTTAGATGCTATGAAGGGGAAATCATATTCCACATTTTTATAGGGAAAAATACGTAAGGGGAGGAGTTGGAGGCAGAGAGACGTTTGGTGTAAATACCAGCTTTCAGATCAGCAGTGATATGGATATTATGTGATAATTTATTTCAGAGACTACTGAAGTATCCGGTAGGCTGAAATTAGTTCTCTGTTTCAAAGCAAAGATGATTGATCAAGGCCCCAGTAAGCAGTTTTTCTACTAGTTAGTAGAGATCCAGGGAATCCAGTAAGCATTTGGATACGCCCGAAGTTACAGAACATCCTGTTTGTCAACCTCTTCCCCAAAAGCAGAATGTTGGAGAAGAGTTTGGGTTGTCCATGGTGCCTATTACCTTATTGGAATGAATTAGGACCATCAAAAATTTCAGATTGATCCAGGTGGGAAGCCATGGTGGTCTGAAGCAGTAGGACAAAGTTTGAGTCCAGTGGCACTTTTAAGACCAACAAAAGTTTTATTCAAGGTATGACCTTTCATGTGCACACACACGTCCTCAGATATCTGAGAAAGTATGCATGCACAAGAAAGCACATAACCTTGAATAAAACTTTGTTGGTCTTAAAGGTGCCGCTGGACACAAACTTTGTTCTTCATTTTTCAGATTGTTATTCATGGTCCAAATATGTATGTAGAGCCAGTTTGGTGTAGTGGTTAAGTGCGCGGACTCTCATCTGGGAGAACCGGATTTGATTCCCCACTCCTCCACTCGCACCTGGCTGGATGACCTTGGGCAAGCCATAGTTCTTATAAGAGCTGTTTTTGAAAAAAGAGCAGTTTCTGTCAAGAGCTCTCTCTCAGCCCCACCTACCTCACAGGGGGTCTGTTGTGGGGAGGGGAAGGGAAAGGAGTTTGTAAGCTGCTCTGAGACACCTTTAGGTCGTGAAGGGCGGGGTATAAATCCAATCTCTTCTTCTGTGTAAGGAAGGTCAGAATCAATTATAGCTCAATGGTATATATATCCACATTGGCTGCTGAGCTCCATAAAAATGTACACAGGTTCTGTTTCTGAGCTGGCTTATCACAGATGCACCCCTTTGTGGTAAATGCTAGTAACAGAAAATCAAGCCTCTGATCCATTTTTACTCTGCACTGATGCTTATTAACTGAAATAACCCGTTAGGTTTGAGATGAGTCAAACTATGGACATAGACAGCCCAGGCTTATTAGGTTGGTAGGAAGGACTTGGTACTGGTAAAGGAGGACTGTTCCTTTGAAAATTGCTCAACACAAAGTTGGTATTGAGTGACCTTGTCACTAGTTCATTCTTCAGTTTTGTAAGCCTTAGGCACTTGGTAAATGGAAGAAACTTGTGGAAAGCAGGTGAAGTGGTGGGAAGAAGACACATTAGAAAGTTGCCTATGGTCAAAACAATGGAAGGTCATCTCATTTGGCAAAGCATTCAGCCAGATTCCTGACCTGGATCGTGAAGCAGAGGAAGGCAATGGCAAACCACCTCTGAACGTCTGTTGCCTTGAAAGCCCCACGGGGTTGTCAAAAGTCAGTTGTGACTTGACAGCAAAATGTTTTTAAAAAAAAATAAAAAAATCCAAATGTCACTCAAAAACAGTGTAAGAAGCACAGTTCTCTTTTCAGGCTGAGAACAGATGGAAGTGTTTGGTATTTTATCAATGGTTGAGATATCATGTGAATGTATATAAAAATGAAGTCAAAGTGTGTTGCTTTTACCTTGTGTAAGCAGTCTTTTCCCAGGTTATTCCCATCCTCCTCATATCCTTCTCATTCATGGTTGCAGATAGGTGTCCATAACATAGAAAAAATGGTAAAACAGCGGTATTGTTTAATTTTTTCCCCCTACTTTAGGGTAAGAGTCAGCCTAATATTACACCTTTTGGGTTTGGTCGTTAACAGAGGTATGCTGTTCCACCCATGCTTTCAGAGCTCTGTAATAACCATTACTCTGAGCTTCCATAGGTAGACCATTCTAACTGCCCTACTGTCACAGAGTAAGGAAACCAACTTGCTTCTCACTGAGAGAAGTGCTGTCAATTTACCCCCCCCCCAATATGTAAGGCTTGAGGAAATATGTTTCAATGTATCTGAAGTGTACATGCACATAAAAGCTTATACCCAGAATTAAACTTTGTCGGTCTTAAAGGTGCCACCAAACTCAAACTTTTTTCTGTTTAGACCCTGTAAGTGGTGGTGGTGGAAGTCCCCTTCTACTTAATTTCAGTTAAGATTTAAAAATGTCATGTGGTTGTGTGGTAGTGTGCTTAGTTAATGCCCCTAGTAACACTGAAATACAGAGCTCTGGCAAGCATGAGAGATTTGTTTACATTGTTGAAGCAATTGGTTATTTAAGGGAGGTGTTGAATTCTTGAAGTATATTTCAGACGTACATTGAGAAAGGGAACTATACAACCATATAAAAGTGACTTACTTGGCAGTGAGTGTTCAGTGTGAGGATGACAGGTCACTGACAGTGTGTGTTTATTGATCCAGATTTGTAAATGTCACAAGACTGCTAGGCTTTTCTCCTTTGAGAGACTGTGCATTGCTTTGTTGAGTTGCTCTTAAGCAAGCCACTAAGATTCCTCCTGGACTTCTTTTTATCTGCAGTGATAAATCCACTACCTCTAATAAGGACATGTGATTGACCTGGTTAGGCCACAGTTTAAAAATTCTGGTGAATCAGTGGGGCAGTACTTAATTTACAGCCCTAAAATTATTCCTCCTAAAATCCAGATTATATGTTGCAAGGGTCAAGTGATCATCACCACAAGCTCCATTTATGGTTCTTCTTTCTCTTTTCCTTGGTAGCATGGGGTTATGAGGCATTTGATAACATCATTGTGCTTGGTCCCTTAAAGGGGAAGTTCCAACTTAGAGGGGGGGGGACTTGAGTATGTGACATTAATTGACATTACACTATACTTCTAAACAGTGCTAGAGAGCAGCAGATTGGTAGCAGCCATGCTTTCTACGGTTCCATAGACATGTTTTTGAGTCATAGCGGTTACTTTAAATGTGTGGCTTAAGTAAATTGTTAAAGTTTGGTTTGCTGGAGGGAACCTCTGAATTGAAATTTGTACCGCTCTGTGGTTTTAGAACCACCGTATTCCAGCAATTAATCAGAGTAGAGCATGGCTTACTCGAGAAGTTTAGCCCTTAGAATTTTTGCTTCACTAAAATCTGTATGCCATTCTTCAGGAAGTACCATTTCCCCTGCTGGGCTGTGTTTCTGGGCTTTAGCACAATGGACAAGGTTGATTCACAGGAACAGAACGTGACAGTTTACTCACGAGTCAGGGCTGGGTTCCCTGTACCTAGTACTGCACAGTGGAATACATGATTGAACTCTTGGTTAAAACTCTTAACAGTAAAGGGAATGGGGAAAATTTAGTGTCTGGGTTCGTTACTGTGTCTCAGTTGATATGATGGGGTGAGAATGACTTTGTGTGCTGCTTTGAGTCCCCATTGAGGAGAATTATGAGGTAAATTAAGTTGAAATGTTATTAAATTCTTCATTGCGGAATGAATGCTTCTCTGTGTGTTATCAGATAACACAGAAGTCAGAACTGCTAGCTTTGAAGCTTGGTGAAGAGGCTTGGAAAGGTTACTACTTAGCTGCAGGGTAGACTGCTGAGGTACTGTTTCAGGTTCTTCGGAGGGGGTTAAGGTACAAAATTTGGAATTACACTCAGCCTTCAAGGAATTTATGACAGCATACAGTGTTTGCCCTTCCTCCTTTTTATCTTCACAACAGGCTTGTGAAGTAGGTTAAAAGAAAATTAACCTAAGTTCACTTAGCAAGGTTCATGACTGAGCTGTGATTTGATCTTTGTCTCTCCAGTCTTCTTCCAATATTCTTCCCCCATGCCATGCTAGCCCTCAATACACTACCAGCGATTGTCTGAATTTTCATAACACCACTCTGAACTTTTGAAGTTGACAAAGGATGGGAAGTATAAACACTGGAAAACAGGATTATGCCCTTTGAACACGATCTGCTCAGGCCTTGTTAAAAATTCTTAGTCTTCCCAACAGAGCAGTTCTCGTTCACTTCAGTGTAACTTACAGAACAGAAGATCTGAATTGTGCCCACTGATTTTAGTGGGATGAAGATAGTATCCTATACTTTCTGATCTGAGAATACAAGAAAGGATTAGAACATCCCCTGTTTGGGGAAGTAGAATGCAAGAATGTTCACTTAACACTGAAAGAAATATAAGATAATGTAATGCTGATGGAGATATTTGTACTGATGTTTAAAAACACATAATTCACTTACAATATTGCTTTGTCATGTAGGTAAAATAATAAATTAGAAATAATGTATCATAGAGGAGAGAATGCTATTAAAGATTTCTTATCTAGCAAGGTCAGGCTGTGTGTTATAAAAGTCTGATCCTTTGTCACCCACGTGCCCTCTATGAGTCAGTCATCTTTTCACAATTTCACATATTTGAAATATTTTTGACTCTTATTATTGGGACAAATGCCCACAAGTTTTAAGGAGCACAGAATTTTTCAGCTTTGCATTCCTTGCTGCACAGTTCCTCTGTTTGAATTATTAAACCTTGACAAACATATGAACATAATTGAACCAACAGTGTCTCTCTTAAACTGTGCTGTATTTTATTGTTATCAGTAACAGCAGCAAATCGTGATATGATATACAGCAGTCTTCAAGATTCTACTGTGAGTTCAATGAAGGTTTTCATAGTGGTTGAGAAGAACAGCAACTAAATCCTGAAGTAAAAAAAAACAGGTGCCATTTGCTGTGTTCCATACACACACACAACACACAACAAACCTTTATTGGCATAACAACAGCCACAGCCTTAGGTACAGAGGCGGTAGGCACGCAAAACAGTTAATTCACTACCCCTTCTGCTGAAAAAGAACTTCTCCTCCTATACACTCTGTAAAGGAAGTTTGCCACCTCTTCGATGGTATCAGCCCTGTTTGACACTAGAAGGTTCATTATCTTACTTTCCTCATATTTGCCCTCCAGGGTTTGCAGTATAGGGCCGAGGTGATAAGCGCGCAAATCCTGGTAAAATCTACAAGTCAGAAGTACATGGTCCATTTCTTCAATCTCCTTTAGCCCACAGGGACATAACCTATCCGGGAATGGTATTTTTTTAAATCTCTCATATAACACAGCTGAGAGAAAAAGTAATAGGGATGGGCATGAACTGGCTCCTGAGCCAAAATTTGGGCTGAACTTAGGCTGATTTGGAGCTCTGTTCAGGGAAGGTGCATTCCCCAAACATTTACCAGACTTTTTGGGCAGTTCAGCTGTTGGAGGCCAGCCATTTAAACCAAACAGCTGGGGGGGGGGAGCAAAACCGAAAGGTTAAATGAAACCTCTTCTCAAGTGCCCCCCCCCCCCCCCCCCGCCTTTGGAATCGAACTTGCCAGATCAATTCAGTTTGTGTGGAGCCTGCTTGGTTCAGTTCGTAGGCCGCCCCAAACTGAACTGCCTTTTTTAGGTTCATGCCCATTCCTAGAAGAAGAAGAGACTGAATTTATACCCCACCCTTCACTACCCAAAGGAGTCTCAGAGTGGCTTACAATCGCCTTCCCCTTCCCACAACAGACACCCTGAGGTAGTGGGGCTGAGAGAGTCTTTCAGGAACTGCTCATGAGAGAACAGCTCTAAAAGAACTTGTAATTGACCCAAGGTCACACCAGCAGCTGCATGTAGAGCAGTGGGACATCAAACCTGGTTCTCCCAGATTAGAGTCCAAGCTCCTGATCACAACACCAATTATTCTTAGTACGACATCCATATTTATTCTTAGTATGGCATCCCAGTGCTTTCAACACAAACTGAGCCTGATCAGGTTGTGTTTGGTGTTGGAGGATAAAATTAATTTGTGTTTCAAAAAAGCAAATCAAGCTTCGTATTTTTTGTGGGTTCTAGCAGCAAAGCAGTATGTTTTGACAATGGGAAAGAGCTTAGATTTAAAAAACCTGTCCAGGTTTTAGTGCAAATTAGCAGAAACACTTTTTTAAATGACCTAGTTCAGAAGTTGTCAAGCCTTTAAAAATAGTGATGTTTAAGGTAAATGTGTAATCCTATTTTAGGTTGTGTAGGGTGCTTTATTAGCTAGAACAGTTTAAAATTGGTCTTGCTGTATATTCCATGCTTTGTGCAAACTGCCCATTATTTACATGTGAACGTTTTCATGCAGATGATACTTTGTTCTGAGTTTGTATGGAGAAAATGTGGTAAACGAGGCTTTTACTGAAACTAGTCTTTGCATCAATTAAAATTTCAGTGAAAAGTGTTTGAAAAAGGACCTATGATCCCCCCCCCCCCCCCGGTTTTTTTGTGATGCCCTTCTAACTGTTCAGTGCTTTTTATATTTCAGAATAATGCATACACGGCAATGTCTGATTCCTACCTGCCAAGTTATTACAGTCCATCCATTGGATTCTCCTACTCCTTGGGTGAAGCTGCTTGGTCAACTGGAGGTGATCCACCCATGCCCTACTTAACGTCTTACGGACAGCTAAGCAATGGGGAGCCTCACTTTCTTCCAGATGCCATGTTTGGACAGCCAGGGGCCCTTGGCAGCACTCCGTTTCTTGGACAGCATGGCTTTAACTTTTTTCCAAGTGGGATTGACTTCTCAGCTTGGGGCAATAACAGTTCTCAGGGGCAATCCACTCAAAGCTCTGGATATAGTAGCAACTATGCTTATGCACCAAGCTCATTGGGTGGAGCCATGATTGATGGACAGTCTGCTTTTGCCAATGAAACCCTGAATAAGGCTCCTGGAATGAATAGCATAGACCAGGGGATGGCCGCATTGAAGCTAGGCAGCACTGATGTTGCGAACACTGTCCCCAAAGTTGTTGGGTCTGCTGTTGGCAGTGGCTCTATTGCCAGTAATATTGTGGCTTCTAACAGTTTGCCCCCGGCGACCATTGCTCCTCCCAAACCAGCATCCTGGGCTGATATTGCCAGCAAGCCTGCTAAACAGCAGCCTAAGCTGAAGACCAAGAATGGCATTGCAAGTACAAGTCTTCCACCCCCCCCAATAAAACATAACATGGATATTGGAACTTGGGATAATAAAGGACAAGTGGCAAAATCTCCGTCCCAGGCCTTAGTTCAGAATATTGGTCAGCAGCCATCCCAGATATCCCCCCAACCAATGGGTCAGGCAATGAGCAACAGCCCACCTGCTGTGCAGCCTTCAGCAGGACAACAGCCACAACCTCTGCCTCCTCCACCACCCCAACCAACTCAGCTGCCAGTGCAGCAACAGGCAGCTCAGCCTGCCCGTTGGGTTGCGCCTCGTAACCGTGGCAACGGGTTTGGTCAAAATGGAGTGGATGGTAGTGCTGTTGGACAGTCTCAGGCCACTTCTGGTGCTGCTCCTTCAGAGCCACACCCAGTCTTAGAGAAGTTGCGATCCATCAACAACTACAACCCGAAGGATTTTGACTGGAACCCAAAACATGGTAGGGTTTTCATCATCAAGAGTTATTCTGAGGACGATATCCACCGCTCCATTAAATATAACATCTGGTGCAGCACAGAGCACGGAAATAAAAGACTGGATGCTGCTTACCGCTCCATGAATGGGAAAGGTCCTGTTTACTTACTGTTCAGTGTCAATGGCAGTGGTCATTTCTGTGGAGTTGCAGAAATGAAATCTGCCGTGGACTACAACACATGTGCAGGTGTATGGTCCCAGGACAAATGGAAGGGACGTTTTGACATCAGGTGGATTTTTGTGAAGGACGTTCCCAACAGCCAACTGCGACACATTCGTCTAGAGAACAATGAGAATAAACCAGTGACCAACTCCAGGGACACTCAGGAGGTGCCTCTGGAAAAGGCTAAGCAGGTGCTGAAAATCATTGCTACCTACAAGCACACCACTTCAATTTTTGATGACTTCTCACACTATGAGAAACGCCAGGAGGAGGAGGAAAATGTGAAAAAGGTAATTTGTTCTAACTGCTGGGTTTGGTATGGGAGAGTACCAAAAAGTGGTGGTGTAGAATAGAACTAGCCATTGTAATGTGTCTGGGAGTCTTGATCAAGTTTCTGAGCTGTAGTTGGCGCCATAGCTTTTGCCACTGGTATGGCGTATACTTTAATATATCAATATCTAGTTGAGAATGAACATTTCTTCCAGTTTCCTCTATAAAAGCATCCTCTATTCCTTTATACTACAGCCTTATTTCCTTTGTACAGGGCTGCCTCTGGAACCTTGGAAATTATTACTTTCTCAGAACAGTCCTATGCCATGTTTTTATGAAAATAACTTCTAGGGCTACCTGTTCTTCAAAAAACATGACATGGTAAAAAAAAGCCTCCTACAAAAGTAATATGTATGAAATAGGCTTTGGCGTTCTTGATGGCTGGAGGCATTTGATGCTGAATATGTTAAAAGCTAATGTGCCTGTTGGAAAAAATTATTTTCTCTTAAGAACCATGAGAGTTGGGTTTTCCTTCCTTTTGGAGTTGGAAGAGTGGGCTGTCAAATGGACAAATAGCGGCAGAAGAATATTGCTATAAAGTATGTACTGTCATTTTTACATTTGTCTCAAAGCTTGCTACAGATTGCTATGCAAGGGCAGCACATCAGTTTTGGATGCAGCTTTTGAGAATCTGAAGTAGCCTTGAATAGGCGGCTGAGACTTCTGCTTGTGTTTGATCCTTTCTAAACAATGGGAGGAGCTGATTTCCTTTAGCATTTCATCTATGTTGGTGTTGTTACACTATTTAGGAAGAACCCATTTGTATGTGTCATTGGCTACTGGAAGAGTATATCCACAAGCATGATAAAATAACAGTTTTTAATATTGTCCAGGCATCTGTAAATGCTTAATGCTCATTTGTCTGTCTCTTGTAGTGGAAGGCCTATGACTAAGATTTTTGTCTCCTTAGTTACTGGAAACAGTGATTGTGGTATGTTCTTTAAACTTCCATGTTTCAGCTTGGTCGCTTAACCTTTCAAGAGAGGCTACAATTGTGTCACTAGTTCATTTGTTTGTTACTGCTGCAACTTGTCCAGAGCTACTGCTACACATAGTAGAATTGTGAAAGCTCGTGCTTTTGAGGGTATTTGGATGTATTGCACTTTTCTTTGAAAAATCTAAGAAATTAGGACTGTATTCCTAAATTCAGGATTTATCAGCTGTTGCTCTATTATGCAAACATTTGTGGGGTGCTGGGAGGAGGAGAGGGGGCTACAGAAGTATGTTGTTGCAGAAACCAACCAATCTCTTAATGACTTGACTGGGCTCTGTACTAGCTAGCACCACCCAGGAGCCAGGCTGTTGAAATTTTGGAGCATGTACACTTAGACATAGCTGCAACTTCACATTTAAAACATCAAAGCGATGTAGTGAGTGGAACATCTTAACTGTTGAAGTAGTGTTCTTGAGTGGAAGTGGTCTTCAAAGCTTTTTACCATATTTTAATTTGAGTACTGGTTCCATTTCAAGGTGTTGGTGCTTACCTTTAAAGCCCTATACAGCCAGGGGCCTGCATATCTGCGAGATCTCCTCTCCCTCTATGAGCCCTGAAGGGCTTTACAGTGTGCCAACCGACATCTTCTGGTGGTCCACAGCCCCAGGGACATCCATCTTGCCTTGGGCCAGGGCCTTTTCAGTCCTGGCCCCTACCTGGTGGAATAAGCTCCCATACAGTTCCGCAGGGCCTGCAAGACGGAGCTCTTCTACTAGGCGTTTAACTAGGGTGACAGACATCCCTCCCTCTCTACTGGGCCTCCCCTCAGTGGGTCAGAACTGCATTACCACCTAAGGACCAAATCTTGAAAGAGATGGCATCTGCGAGGCCTTAACTTTAAATATAACTTGATGCTGTTGTATTTTATTTTATTGGTGTTTTAATTGTTTTCATTTTTGTAAATTGTATTTTCTACTAAATTTGATGTAACCTGCCCTGAGCCTGCTATGTGGGGAGGGTGGGGTATAAATAGAATAAAATAATAAAATAAATACATAAATAAAGTGACATGTAGCATCATATCAGGACCCTCTGTCTGCCCCTCTGTTAGACTGCAAGTTAGTCCTCTCTGCTTAAACCTTGCTAGTAAATCCCACTGAAGACAAATGGGACCTTATTGAATAATCATAGGTAAGTGTGGGATGTAAGCTGCTGGGTGAGAAACAAAAATCTTTTAAAACTCTGCTTCGCCATGGTGTACGCCTGTTTTCCCTCCTTCTTAAATAGCTGTTTAAGCATAATTGTCTGTGTTGATGAGCACAGTTGTCTTTCTCCAATGGGCTGTTGAGAATTGCTTTTGCACACTTGACACTAAATTTTCAAGAACAAAGTTTCCTTGTTTTCATTATTTATAAAATTTCATGTTGAAAATTGCATTGCATTGAATAACAGTTAAGTTGTGCATTCAGATGACAGCATCTCAGTTACTGTCTTCTTCCTTCTGTAGTGTGTAATGTTTTAGGTGGATTGTTGACAAGGTAATATTACATTGCCTTATCACTGTAGGCCTTATAAACACAGCACATGCTGTTCAGGAGCTTTAAGAATTTGCTTAAATATTTGTATTCTGTAGTTTACTGTCCATAAATACAGATGAATAATGTAATTTGGATCAAAACAACAGTAAAAAGCAAGTACTGGCCTATATTTCAAAATTTATTATTTTATGTATTTCATTTGTACCCCACCTTTCTCCCCAATAGGGACCTAAAGTGACTTACAGCATTCTTCTTTCCTTCTTTTTATCCTCACAACAACCCTGTGAGGTAGGGTGGGCTGAGAAAGTGTGATTGGCCCAAGGTCACCCAGTGAGCTTCCATGGCATGAGTGGGGATTTAAATTCAGGTCTCCTAGATACTAGTCAGATGCTGTTAACCACTACATCACATCTGCTATTTAGAAAATTATTTTTAAGTGTCAAGGGCTTAGTAAAAGAGTGATACTGATTTGGCTTCTAGAAACATAGAATGTTCATTGCAGGATTTATCTTCTACTAAAATACATCTCGGTAAAGGTGGCTAATCCTTGGAACCAGTTTGGACCATTTGCAGTGACACTTTGATTCAGAACTATTGCATAGGTCACCATTGTGAGAAAAAAAAAGTTGAGATCAGTACACTTATTTGCATGGGTTGTGCTGACATCTTTGGTCCTTCAGAGAATATGAAAATGTTTCTCTAAATGCTGCCTCAGGAGGAGTAGTACAGAAGAGTACCAGTAACCCCAGGCTTGGTGGAGGTAAAGAGCCCCAGCAGCCATTTGGGTGCTTCCAGAATCAACAAAAGTTGGAGGAGCACAAGGCATGGGGAACTGCTGTTCCTTTGGGCTTTTGAAACAAGGAATCCACTGTCTTCCATAAATAAAGCTTAAAATACGTGAAGCTATCAAACCATACAGAATTCTGCTTTTAACCTTAAGGAAGCATAGAAGAAAATCTCTGAATTTCTTGTACATCTGCCATCTTCTGTGCAGTCACAGATTGGGACTGCAGGCCAGCCACGGATAGAAGTTTCTACCTCTTTTACCTCCTCCTTCAGACTGAGTGCAAGGGCTTTTCTGCCTAAACCGTCACATGCTCTGGAGGAGTAGCGACCCCCTCCTTCAGTTCCTTTCTTGCCACTAAGTGGATATGAGTAGCCTAGCCCTTCTCTTATTTGAAAAAAACAAAATTGTGCAGAGCAATAAGCATCTTTATTAATTGTACAACCCCTACTCTGACTCTGTTTAAGTGTATGTATGGGAACAGAATTAAAAAGAATCTGAAAGAGTCCCCCTGAAGAAGCTGCACACAAAGCGCATAGGGGGTTGTACAATTATTAAATTTTCTTATCCCTCTGCACTGTTTTGTTTTTTCATCTTAATTTGCCTTGGTGCGCCGCCCCCCCCTTTCCTCTTCTCTTATTTGCCTTACTGTACTTAGTGTTTTTGAACTTCTTCCTGGGACCAGAGGCGATCTCATCTTCCCTCTGGTTCTTTCTCTCAATGTCTCATGAACTATTTAAAAAACAGGGTGGTGGGGGAATCATAATTTATTTGATTGTGGGTGATGCGACTGCTGTTAATCACCAAGGCCTGCTCTTGTCTTTGTTCTCAGTCCCCTGCTGGGTTTACCTCACTTGAGTGGTGAGCAACTATGTTGTCAATGTACTCTTTGAGAAATGATTAATGGTTATTTATTGTTTTATTGTTGTTGTTGCTACCTGTTGTTACCTGCCCTGACTCCTGCTGTGTAGGGGAGGGTGGGCTATAGGCCAAAGAAGGTAATAAATAATAATAAATAAATGTGCCTAATGTGACTTGGAGAAAGTCACAATGTGGTTGCCTGTAAAATGTGTCAGCAGTTCACCCCTAAGGCGCAGAGTAATAGGGCATTGAGATGAAAGACTGCCTTTTGGGAAAAGGTGCTTTCATCTGCCAAAGTACCTAAGTCGTTGAGAGGTTCCAGTTGCCATTTGAGACTGGCATTGGTTCTCTTGTTTCCATTTGTTCCAACGTCAGAGCCCCCTAGATGGTGCTCCCAGTCACTGACTCTGAGTATGACTCTCAGGAGCTCCTCAGAACCAGCAGCAGAAAATCTAAAACCAAGCATAAGAAAAGGATAGTCTCTAAAGACTGTCAGTCTCAACCACCTTCCACACCAGTTCTGACCCCCGAACAACAGGAGGTCATATTAGTCTTGCCACACACTCCATCTTTGCACACCCACTCCCTGGATAAGTTGCTTTCTGATCTGGAGGTGGAATTGACTCTGACAGCTTCTGGGTTCTGGGGCCCTCAAGATTACTGTGACCACTGCTGCTTCTTTACAGGGATGAGGGGGCACATTATGAAGATTAATTTGCCCAGGATATTTGGTCTTCATTACAGGCAAGTTTGCACATTACTATTCTTGAACTGTGCACTATATGTTATGCCCTCATCTCTTTCAAAGATATTTTACAGGGCAAAAGGGTGTTGATACAGACA